TGCCTCTGGGGGTGGGGGGGGGGGGGGGGGGATGAGAAGGGGAATTAAAATCAAATCCACCTAGAGAGCCTGTGGTCTTTTCTCTCTGGAACCAGCTGCTCCCTGATGAGGGTGTGACTCTGGGCTGGAATCCTACGGAGCAGAGTTGAACTCCAAGAGAGCACAGAACTGAGAGCCTCCAGAGACGAGACCTCTCTCCCTCCCATTTTACAGATGGAAAAACTAAAGCCCTAGAGTCATCTAGAAAATGAAAGACAGTGCCAGGATGAACAATTCCTGGTTCGGGGTCTTGCTTGTGTGCTGGGATACTCTCTGTGGTGTTGGCTGCTGCATCAACTTCTGTGTTAATGGATGTGCAAGAGCAGGTGTGTGCAACTAGACTTCCTGGACCAACAGGGCCTTTCTGTCGACCAGTCTCAGGGGCGATACGGCGCTCTGTGTGCGGTGTTTGCCAAGCCTCATTAATTCAGGCTCTCCCCCAGGGCTGCGGCACCATCCTGGATACGTGCATTCTTCGTCCTTATTTTCAAACAGATACAGCTCCCAAGTGAAGTACTCTGATGAATAGAGGCCTAATTTATTTGCATCTGCGATTGCAGCCTTTATTTGCTCACCAGCAGTGAATGTTCCAAATTCAGCACTTTAATTTCTGAGCGACACAACCTTGTTCCTTAAAATCTTATTTAACTTTATCAGTTTATATTTATAATGAGTATAAGTATATCTATGTATGTATATACACATATATGTATATGTCATACACACATACACATATATATTAATTTACTTTTTTATTTTTTTTAGAGAGATTTTTGCTATTGGGTGAGTATGCTTGCCAGAGAGACATAGAGACAGAAAGTAAGAGATCGCCTCCCAGCAGGGATGGCCATGCTGTAATCTCTTCTCCTCCATTCTCCTTCTGTGATATTGGGCATGCACACACATGTGCCCAGTGTGATTTTTTTAAGCCACTGGGTCTGGGACTCAAACTGTGGTCGGCCATGTGGGAGTCCAGCATTTTAGCCACTATGCCACGAGCTGGCCCCAACACACACACACACACACACACACACATGCATACATAAATATATTTAAATTATCTCTCTCTTTTAAAAATTTTTTGCTATATTTATTTATTTTTGCTATGGGGCACTAGGGTACATGTGCTTGCCAGAGAGAGAGTGAGAGGGAAAGTAAGAAATCACCCCACAGGAGGGATGGCCATACCACAATCTCTTCTCCTCCATTCTCCTCCTGGGATTTTTGGCATGCACACACACATGCCCAGCATGATTTTCAAGTCACTAGGTCTGGAACTCGAACCACAGTTGGCCATACGGGAGTCTAGCACCTTAATCAACCATCTGCTAATCCCCAAAAGGTTGCTTTTTTTCTTTTTAAAATTTTTATTTTTTTCTTATGTTTTACATCCAATCACTGCATATCTTTACAACAGAGAACATGGATTTCCCAGTATGAAAACGCTCTATGTTAGTCCAATCAATGATATTACCATACGCACTATCATCAACAGATAACTTCTCATTTTTGTGTCTGTTAATGGTTTTTAAAAATGCTATGGCTAAGAACTTTAGCACAGGAAGGTGTGTGTAGGTCAACACACTCATTTTACAGAGAACAAAACAGGGGCCGGGGCAGAGCTGGCCTCTGGATTCAGGTCTTCTGACTCGCAGAATGGAAGATGTTCATCAAGTGGGCTGAGCCGCCTCATGAAAAACTGTGTGCATGTGTGGGTTTTGTTCTGAGAAGAGGCTGACATTTTCCCATGACCTGTGACCGTGGCTGCCTTTCCCCATAGCCCTTTCCTGACCAGAGGCTCTGTCGCCAGTTGATGAGACAGAGCCTGAACCAGTGAGATCTATGCACAGAGCAGCTTGGCTTCTCAGTGCCAGCCTCCTCTCAGCCTCGGTTTCACTGGTCCCTTTCCTGTATCTCAGGTGGAGCCCAGCACTTTCTGTTCACTCCCCAGTGTCAGAAAGTACTGCGTTGCCTACCGAGTGCCGTGGGAGATGTCCATGGCACATCTCCTCACTCTTGTCCCTTTCCTGCTCTTGGGGCCAAGGACCCTCAGCCAAGGTGCTGAGAGGGGAGGTCTGGTGAAGGGACCAGTGCCTCTCACATGGGTGGCCACTGTCACAGACCTCCTGGCTGCCCAGCTGCTTTGGCTAAGACTGGCCCTTGCTGTGAGTTCCTCCTGGGGCTGCCTTCCAGCTGCTGACCTTCGGATCAGACCAGGGAGGCCGGGATGAGGAAGGGCATCCCCTGCTCTTCGCCCTGATAGGATAGCTCCCCTCTGAAGCCATTTCTTCCACCTCCCTCTCGGTGCCAGCCCTCAGCAGTCAGTCCAGAGGGCTGTCCTATCAGGTGAGGGACTGGTAAGATGACTTTTCTTCCTCTACCCGTGCTGCCTTGCCAGGTCTAGGAACTGCAGCCCACCCCCAGTCAGCCCCATCTCCCCTTTCTTCTCCTCCGCTTCCTCTGGCTCACAGGCCAGCGTGCTGCATAAGCAGGAACCTGCCGAGAAGGGAGGCTCCCTCTCCTGAACGCACCCCATCCACCACTAGCCGCTTTTCCCATTCCCACCGGGAGGTTTCGGGGGTTGAAATGAACAGAGCATGGTGGTCAGCTGCACAGTTTCTGCAGTTGAATCCTGCCTCCGGCTCAGTAGCTACCCCTTCACAAGGACAGCAGTCCCTTCCGCTGTGTTTCAGTTTGCCCACCTGGGATGCAGGTCAATGATCATAGCTCCCCGTGGGTAGGTTAGTACATGACGAGCCCTTGGGACAGTGCCTGGGAGGCAGTGTGCCTGCCACACCTGCAGTTACCAGGAGTGGCAGTGATAGTGACAGTAGTTACCGTGGTCACCACAATAGCGATGGCCATCAGGCCCAACATGGGGGAGAGCTGTACCTCTGAACTTGGCCCAGCCCAAGTCGGCCTCATATTCAACCCGTGCAGCAACCGTTATTAAGCGCTCACCCACGTTCCCGGCTCTGTGCCAAGCACAGCTATCCCCCTGAAACAGGGAGAAAACACAGGCTGTGGCATGGCTCGACCTGGGTCCAAGCCCCACCTCTGCAGCTTGTCATCAGTCTGACCTTGTGAAGTTGTTTCTCTTCTCTGAGCCTCCCTTTATAAATGGGGCACCTACAGTCAGGGACATAAAGACATTTTACATTTCACGTAAAATGGGGATCTGTGTCACCTATCATGAGGGTGGTTGTGAGCAGCGGTGTGACTGAGTGACGACACAGCCACTCCGGAAAACTGTTAGGCAGTGTCATCTGAAGCTGAGGACATGGATACCTTGGGACGCAGAAATTCCTCTGCTAGGAGAACACTCAGCTAAAATGTGTGCATGCGTGCAGCAGAAAACACAAGAGTGTTTCTATGTCATATGCACACCCTGTGGCTGGCATTTTCACACAGAGGAAATGTGCACACAGGTGCACCATACATGTCTTCCAGACACATACAAGAATGTGCTAGCGGCATTACTTATAATGGCCCCATATATAGGGGACTGCCGAGTCACACACAAGCCATGGAGTCGTGGGTAAGTGTGGCTTAGACTCGCAATAAAGCACCACATGACAGCGAGTCTGGGAGAGCTGCAGCTACGCGCTCAGAATAGGCGAGTCTCACACACAGGCCCCGTGGTAGAAACCAGACACAGAGACATACTGACTGATTCTATTTATGCAAGTTAAAAACAGCCCAAACCAGCCTATGGTGACGGAGGTCAGGGTCGTGGTTACTGGAGAGTGGAGTGGGTTAGTGACTAACTTGGCTACTGGGTGTCAGGCAGGTCTGTTTCTTTCTTTCTTTTTTTTTTTTTTGAGAGAGGTTTTTTCGCTATAGGGTGCGTGCACTCGCCCGACAGAGAGAGACATAGAGACAGAAAGTGAGAAATCACCCCCCAGGGGGGATGGTCACGCCATAGTCCCTTCTCCTCCATTCTCCTCTTGGGATCTTGGGCAGGCACGCACACGCGCCCAGTGTGAGTTTTAAGCCACCGGGTCTGGGACGCAAACCACGGTCGACTACGTGGGAGTCCAGCGACATAGCCATTATGCTAACTGCTGGTTCCCCGTTTCTTTTCTTTTCTGAGAGGTTTTTGCTATAGGGTGCGTGCGCTCACCAGAAAGACAGAGACAGAGAGACAGAAAGCGAGAAATCACCCCCCGGGGG